CTGTTAACTACAGTAAAAGCTTTGTGCATATTTTGCACTCCATGAAACCTCAGAGGAAAACAACATGCCTGCATTACTAGATTGTTTGGGGGGGGGGGTCAGACAGACTGTTTGCTACATAGTTTGACGCATCTAGAGAAGCCATGTTTCAAATCCGTTGCTTAAAGGAGTTATTTGCTACAGGAACATTTTGCACCGCAAACCCTGGAGATTGCAGAGGGATTTAGAACGGGGAAACAGTTAAGGGTATACGAATTGCACTCCAGGATGTGCAGTTTTAGGTACATCCAACAGACACGTTAAGGAATCACTGGACTGTGGTCTCAGGGATGGGACTATTCCAAAACCTCCTGACAGCATCTTCTCTAAGCTGCTTTTATGGTAGCCACTAAAGCTACATGCACAAGTTGCAGCTATTCAAGGCTGGGAGCCACCCACTGATGTCCTCTGGCTCATGAACATAATCAACCCCCCACCCCAAGCTAATACCTGTGCCACTTCCCAGGTTAGAGTGTTTTTCTGCATCCTGGTGATAAAAAAGGCATTCTTACATTTTTCTTAAGAGAATGGCCTCGGATACCACATGGAAGATTCAAGAGACAGGTCTATCACACACAGGATAAACTTGGACCTGCCACCATGACAGGCCCTCAAGCTACCCCATGCGGGTTCCTGTCTTGTGCCCGCATGCACGTTCGTTAGGTGCATACCTAAAACTGAAAAGAAGCCCTAGCCAGCGAGGAGTCAGACTTCTGTTCCCACAAATGCTGCTGTTCATGGCCTGCAAGAACATGAACCGATGCAGGCCTTTCATGAGAGAAACTTCACTGGCTCAGCATTGGCCATAACTGCCATTGCATTCTGTGACCTGAACATTTTTTGTAATTGAACTGTCAAGAAAACACTCGATAGAAAACTGTTTTAGTAACAGCAAGGGAGGCATTATATCCCAAAAGGTATTAAGCATTGTTACTTTTAGAACTGAATTCTCTACAGCTTACATATTTCTGGCTTTGGCTTCTAAAGTATAAGTCAACACTTTCCAACACAATGGAGATGCCTGAATTTTCCCCAGATGCTCTGCGTTCGATGAAATAACTTCTTTCTTTCCTACTAAAACATATGGAGTACTTTTCCCCACTTACACACATAACAAATCTTCCTATTCCTTCTGGAATTATTAGTAAAGTTCCAGTCTCCAGTTATGCATGCCTCTTATGGACACCAGATACATTGTGCAACTCTTTGTACCTGCAGGACTGACCAGCAGAAAGAAGAGACCAACCGAGAGCCGTTTCTTAAAGGAGGGAGCTCAATAAAAGAGGCAAGTCAACTCTGCAGTCCTCAACCTTCATCTCATCAGGCATAAATCAGGGAATCTAGCACAAGGCAATGACAGAGGAGACCTCATGACTCGGAGAAACAGCTTCTTCCATCTAGGGCTGAACCTCTTAATTTGAAAAAGTGCATACCATGAAAACTAAACGAAGACCAAAAACAGTCACTACAAATAGGGACTACTAGAGATTTGAAGGGGGAAGGAAATTAAAAAAAAAATCCAGGATTAAAACATTCCTGTTTGAAACAATAATAGTTGATAACTTTAAAGTGCCCAGAAGGGAAAGGAACACGGTACTTGATGATGGTGCCTGCTGGACTCAGCAGCAGAACTCCCTGAACATTCTTAAGAGTTATTCTTCTACAGTCACTGCATCTGCAGCAACGCCTTTTGTCAGAAACCCCATGCCAAAAACAACTGTTTCTGGGACTGTAAGGGCACAGTCCTTCAGTGCCTACAGTAGCTACTCATAAGCCTCCAGTGCAAGGTGCAACAGGACAGCAGTCTGCACTACTGCTCCACCTCATATTTTACCCTGATGGCTATTTTCAACTGCCTGGCTTTGGTGTTAGAGAGGGGACAGAAGGAGTCTGGGAAACTGGAGCAACTCTGCTGCCTCATCCTCCTGCCTTCTGCCCAATGTGCCTCTTTTCTCTCTCTGAGAACCAGTTGTGACCAGTGGAGGGGGGTGGGCAGCAGTAGGTACTTCTTTGCATGTTGACCATGCAGGAGCGGCCCAGCCTTCAGAGTCGAAACACTGAGCTTAAGTCCTTGGCACTACCATCTCCCAGAAGATGTCTGCAGAAGAATTTTGTTGCCATCCAATTGATGCTGCTGTAAATCTGTCAAAACCAAAATTCAAAGGCAGATACCTAAGTGAAAGCAGCACTGCTTGCTATATTGGACTGGACTGCAAAGCAAGCAGTGTACTTAGGACTTGATGTTGGAAAGGTACTTTCAAGTGTTGTGGAAAACTGAACATCTCCAGGGATTTGGCCCAGGAATGTAGCCTGGGAGTCTGTCACACCTCTCCCTCCTGCAGCGTGGCGGCAAGGCCTTTGCACCACACAGCCTTTCCCCCTCTTGCTTCTCACCTACTTTGGATTCCTCCATCTTGTAGTTATAGTTCGGAAATACACTAAATCAAGAAATAAAGTGTGAAAGGATAAGGAAACTTGTTTTTATCTGGCAAACCGTCAGTTTAGAGGTCTGTGATAAGTATGATGAGGACAGAGATATAGAAGCAGAAACTGATAGCAATTGCTCAGAAAATGAGACTGGCCGAATTCCATGTATATTCACTGAGTATTGGTTTTATGCCTCCCTTTTTCATTTCTTTTAATAGAAGTGAGTGCTTTATGCCTACTTGACACTGTGGAGGAAAGGACAAGGGAAAGTATATTTTTCTTGGTTTTACTAATATTGATGGTTTCCTCTTGCTTTTACTGTTTTTTGCCTGCTTGTAATAAATTGGCAAAACCAAAGAAGTTCCTTATAATTCAGGAGACAAGCAAATATGATAAACATAAAAATAGATTTTAATGAATGTCAGAATAAACTGTAATTTTAATATGCCAAATATATTTTATATTCTTAAGGAAACAAGGCAATTATCTTTAACGGATACTAATGTTGCATTTTAATGCTTCCAAAAAATTCTGCTATTTTTTTTAAAAACTCCACATCTAGAGAGTTTTTAGAGATGGCCACACAAGCCATCTAGAGAGTGTAAAGCTACACATTTTTCATCCTGTGACTTCAAAACTTTCTGGAAATTTAACATCCCTTTCAGATACCCAAATCTATAAAGGCTTAAAAACAAAACAATGCCACCATCAGAAAAATTTCTATCAAACTTGTCAGCCAGCAGACTAAAGTCCCAGGGATTCTTCTTTGTATATATGCAGGAGTAGCCTTAGCTGAGTGAGGATGCTACTTGGGTGAAATGAAATGTAAAAGTAGTAGTATTTCTACTTTTCACTTAGGATTGTAGCCTTACAAAGCATGGCTCTCATTTAAGTTTTCATGGCTCTCATACTTCATTCTCCCAGCCCATAATCCCTGTAAACCAGCACTGTGGAACATCTATGAATCCCCTGATGTCCTGCTTTGTACCTTTCTCTTTATCATCTGGCACAGACAAGAAAGCTAAATGCTTCTCTTTAGAATACAATGTTCAAACCTTAAAACCTAAGATGCTGCTCAATAACTTAAAAAAATGTTTTTGACAAAATACACCAAAGTGATATTTCAACAATTCTTAAATTAAATAATTGACTAAAAAGAACGAAGACTCCTTCCTAAAAACAATTGTTTCTCAGTATTAGTTGCTCAAAATGTTGCCTGTTTACTAAATGCATTGCTATAAAAACGAATACCAAAAAATCCCCACTGTGAATTCCATCCAAGCTTCAATATACATATCTGCCAAATGTTCCATCTCCTCAGCGCCTTCCATTTTAGCAGTTTTAATTACTGACACATCTCCACTGACACATTTCTGAAGACTTGTGAACTGAACATATCTTCATTCTATATTGCCTAGCTAAATATATAATGAAAACACCCTCATTTATCCATTCCATTGGTCTGTTCAGTCCTCTCACTTCAAAACCTGTTGTAATGTCTTGCTGGCTAAGTTTAGCTTGTGAACTACACAGCAATTTGCCCTTCTGATAAGCATCACATTTGTGAATTGAAATCAATGAATGAATGACTCATTTCCAAGAATAAGATTTCTTTTTTAATCAGGAAAGATTAACAATATGCATTTTTAAGTGCTGCATTTCCTACCACTCTCATTCCTGGTGCATAATGAAGATTTTGTGGAGCAATTGAGTTTCTGTGAATTGAAGTTTGTATGGTAAGTCTTTTAAGGTCTGTACATTAAATCATTGTCATTATAAATAATGAAGCATTAGAATGTCTACCAGTAGCATTTATGCTACATCCAAACCATTTCCAAATGCAAATGAGCTTCAATTACCCAGAACTGCTAAAGGAACAGCCAACTATCTTTATGGAAGATGGCTAAATTATTGCTATACAGTAGGGAATATTTCTATTCAAAACCACCTGTAGCAACAGCACAAGATTTGTAAGTATCATTCCTACAAAAGAATTGAAACAATATTAACAGTAGTAGGCACCACCATCTAACTGTTAGCTTCCTGGATTGTTTCCACACCTAATGGGAATATAATCAAATGATCAACTACAGAAAGTGTGCGAAGTGTACAGAGGAAACTCCAAAGAGAATATATGTTTAGAGCAAACCTTATCAGACAGTTATGTGAATAGCTCAGTATATACAATATTGTTGAGTTGGTATGCTAATACCTGGCTCTACACTCTTTATATTGTACAGTACAAGGTAATTAGATAATTTTTCAGAAGCAGAGCTGTGGAGGTAAACAGTCATTATCGCTTCTTTGAAAATAACCTATACAGAACAAAACGGAATGCTTTATAATACCTAAATTGCTGGGACATGCATTTACCCTGTAATGCAAATAATGCCCAGTGCTTGGGTTGTACTATTATCATTCTTGGTAGCAAGGTATAAAGAAGCTCTTGAGATTGTTTTGATTTTATTTCTGTGACTTTCTTTTAACCCTGATTGCTCCACAATGCTCTTTTTTATTATTTCAGTAAAATGGGGAAGATGACCCTCTCCTTTCATAACCAACTCAAATGGAATAAGCAACCTGTCAGAGTGCCTGATTAAGACTTTACTGTACTGGGGCAGTGGGGGAAGGCCATCATGGAAAAGCCATGAAGTTCATGTCTGGACTGTTGTCAATTCTTGAGAAGCCCAGAAAGAAAAAGATTCAAATACGAAACAGTGTCCAATTGTTACCATTCCAGGTGCGATCTTAAAGGTAAGAAATCAGATCAAGAAGAAATAATTTTTCATTATTCTGTCAGAATTCTAGCAGGAAGTCATGGTATATCACATTCATTTCCAATCCAATTCTTTATGTTTATTATTCTTTATTAATAGGCCCTTGCTTAGGTCGCTTGTTATGACAGTAATGCATTTTCCAAAAGATATGGCTAATCATGCAAGATAGATTCTCCTAGAACTAGACCTATCTAGTTATGGCTGAACTAATAAAAGGACTCAAGGATCTTCACAGAAATGAAATTTAAAAAGTAAATGTTGGCTCAGGAGTTAGAAAAAAATTAAGGCTTGACTATTTAAAATGAGAACAACTACAAGACAAAGTTGTCAGATACCCTGTATGTGTCCTATAAATATTTTAAACATGCAAGCACACTTATTCACTGTGACCAATGTACAGCTATACATCCCTTTCAATTATTTTGTCAGTGCTACTCCAAGCTGTCGGCAGATCTTTCTCACAACTTCCCATTAATCCATAAACCCAATTACTCTTTATATAAACACAAACAATCCAGAGTGAAAAAAAATTTTTTGTCAGTCTCAAGGCAGTTGGCAACTACATGTAGATGCATTCTGGTCTCAGTCCTGAACATTACCCATCAGAATTGAAACAGCTGAACATTTCATAGGCTTCTGCGGGAACAAAGATTTATTGACAAACAGTCCAGAAAGATACCTTTACCTGATCTTACAATCTAAGTATTATATAGACCATTTCTATTTTGCTTAACAATTGCTCCCTGCCCTCCTCTCCCTACCACCAAAAGAACACATGGTCTAACACATTTTCCTTGGAAAAATGACTTCACCTTCCACTTAAAACAAAATTAAATACAGGCATTCAAAACAACACACACACACACACACACACCCTGCTAATGCCTTGTTGATGAACTAAATCTTAATTTATTGTTCCTCAAATTTGTTTTTACTGAATAGCCTCTTCAGATTATAGCAACAAATGATCCTTTGTTTGGGAACTTTGTGATCCACTTCTGTTAAGTATTCTGCTGGTATTTAAGCTATGCTGGTAGCTAGTGTTCTTTTGCTGAGAGCACAGCTTTAAAGAGAAGGCGCCTGGAACTAAAAAGAAATAGCTGATTAAATGGTCTTTCCCAAGCTTCTGTAATGATGCCTGTATAGCATGCTCTTGTCAGTTCGATGAACAACCAGCTAAGACTGAAAAATAGTTCAAATGATGAACTATGAATAAAACAAGGTAGGGTTTCCACTTGGCACTGAAGCTACTCTCCCCACTTAATAAGCAAGGACCCCACAACTGATAATAACATCAAATTAGTTATATTTCTTAACTCATATGCACGACAGTTTTTTCAACCCTCCTCTAACCTCTAGAGTGAAACCCGCTTTTTAACAGTAGGACCTTACTAAATTAAAGGAAATTGCCACTAATACTAAACTATCAAATTGTAACAAAAATCTACTGTCAGATACATACACAGATATATAATGAGATGGAAAAGAGAATTCACACTGCTGAAATATATCTGAATTTGAATATATTAGTTTTACCCACACTTGTTGTGGACATACGAGTGTCAACTATACCCTTTAAAGCAAAACAAATAACACACCAATAATAATTGTAAAAGTACATAACATGAAACAACAGCAGATTAAAGCAAAGCAAGCAGCCACTGGAAGCCAAACAATGCAAACAAAAGGAACACTCAAAAAGCCACACAAAGCAGGACTCCAGAAGTGCATTCCATCATCTTGGTGGAGCCTTGGAAAAGGCCTTGTCAGAGGTACATGCCCATTATCCTCTGCAGAAAGGCAGGACTAAAGCTTGTGCGAGACAATCCTAGAGATGTCCAGGCCCTGCACTCTTTAGCACTTTGAAGGCTAAACCCATCCCTTTAAAAATGGAGTACAGAAACTATGTGCTTATGTGAACTCTGTTACACGAGCTCCTTATCCGAGTATTCAACTGACAAGTCCCCTCTTATGTTATGAAGTTACATCCAAGAAATTAAGCAAGAATTCAGTGCAATTCTTATGGCATTTAAAAAGCTCAGTTTGAAGAACTGTTTTCACATCCTCCAGCAGATCAGACAAAAAAAGAAAAAAAGGTAGACTTTCTTACACAGTAGCCACCCAGATTCTTTGGCCAGCCCCCAAACAAGGCAGCTGTTCTCTTTTGTTGTTGTTCCCCAGTAACTGACAATGAAGAGCCTTCCACCTGTGAATCCTGAATCTGCCTACAGCCACCATGACAAGCATCCACAGATACACCGCCCTTTCATTAACATGTCCAGCACCCCTTAAAAGATGGTAAAAGCTATGGCAGCATAATGAATGCAATAATCCTACTTAAAACTATTTTTAGGCTGCCTTTAGAATACTTTTTTCTTCATTCTTCAATCCCTGACCAATAAATTTTATTAAGTGACTATGAGTTTTGATATAAGTATTCTGCACCATGATGTTCATTGCTCATAATGCAAATTAGGAATAGTGGTCATATTTGCAGCCAGATCCTTAGAATTTAAACTTGGAAGGGAAGGGAAGGGAAGGGAAGGGAAGGGAAGGGAAGGGAAGGGATAAAAGCTTTGTTTCACTTTATGTCACAGAGCTGAGTGACTGAGAAGCTGGAACATAAATATATTCTTTCAAACCGTTCTGAGACCGCTGTTGCTAATTAATGGTATAGAAAAACTTAAAAAATAAACCACAAAAGCTCTACATTAAAAACATGTCCACAGAGATACTACGTCTCTCTTCTGGGTGACCTAGCACCAAACAAACCTGACAGACCCTCATTAGAAAACTCTGAACCACAATTAGTTTCAATCAATGACTGCCGCTGGAGAGGTACAGAACACTCACCTAGCTGAAATGTTTACTTTCTCATTACAACTGAAGGATGGATGGGACTGCTTCAAAGCAGCACTTGTGGTCTTAAACGGTTATACAAATACAAAGGATCAGGAACCTAGAGATCGCAGCCCCAGTTGTCACTTTTGACATGGGAATGTTGTCACCTATGATAACCTTTACCTCTCCTTTTAACATAATATGTTGTCAATTGTTACCCATAGCATGAAAACCACAAAAAAGTTATTAGATTTTGATAGGTGTGAAAGGATGATTTGAAACAAGGGAGTAAAGAGATTTAAAAAGGTAACAAAGAAAATTACTTAGCCCAAAGGAGGGGAGGGGCCACAATCAGATAGCACAAGGTATGGGGAAACAGGCAGGAGGGCCAAATACTGAGTTACCTGGGTCAGTGAGTTTTGGTAGGCAGCCTTCTCTAAGCAGACTCATATCTAAGCAATATTCTTCTCATTCTGTAATTGTGGATTTAACAGTGCTGTGGGAGATGGCCATAGTTTGGAATATTTTTGTACCCTAATTGGTGCTTCTGTACAACTTTATCCCAGAGTTGTTTTGCTAGCTCCTTGTTTTTCATGATGTCGTCTGTGTAGCTATGCTATCCAACACTGGGGCCTACAGGAAACAGGCCTATTGAATCCGAGTTCATGTGGCACTGGAACTGCGCACCAGTGGACTCCATTCAGCTACTTGATGTACAGTGTATGCCTTCAGGAGGCAGTGGGTTGCACCAAAGCTTGATCAGTCACGTCACATCAGAGAAGGGGAATACTTACCCAACCAGCAACTGCCAGTTTGTTTTTATTGACTCAGCTCTTTTGACACAATACAAATATTGTACACCTTTGCTCAATACTCAGATCTTGCACATTTCAAAAGCTAACAATGCCAATTAAATACCTTTCCTTCCCAGGTTGTAGCACAATAAATTGTGGAAATTTCCAAGGGAGAGGGTGAATAATTTTGCCAGATTTTGTATATTATGCTGTAACATGCTTTGAGCATATCATGTTTGGTACAGTTTATTCAGACAAGAAGTACAAATTAGCTGAATTTACTTCTTAAAGTCAATGACTATAATGATAATTATATAAGCATATCAAGTTTTATATATATACTATCTACAACTTGATGCTCTCTAGAGGTTTTGGACTAAAACTCCCAGAATTCCTGACCATTGGCTATGCTGCTTAGAGAAGATGAGAGCTTAAACTAAAATCATTTGGATAGTACCAGGCTGGGGAAAGGAATCCCAAAGCAACAAAGCTACTTTAAATTTGTAAGGTGCATTAAAGAAAAAAGAGAAGTATGTATTTCTTCAGTTGTCTCTAAAATTTAAGTTTTTCATGAAAAGGAAGCTTTTTCCCTCAATGCATCAAAATTTCCATAAATTTTACACCTCCAGTTCCACCACAGCCTAACTAACATACACAACATGACAGACTAATTAATCATACCAGCTCACAATCCCCAGTTCTCCTCCTCCAGTCCGTCAACCTCAGGGGCACCGGCTGCCATTGCCAAGCATGTTGCTGTGGCAGGGGTCCATCTCCACCAGAAGAAAAACAAAGCCACACGAGTATCTATCTTGCCACAGCAGGTCCTCCCTGCAAATGCTACTTTAACCTCTACTGAGTGGGTGCAGACCCTCTGTCAGCATGAGGGCCTATTCCATTTCAGAGAAGCTCTCAGGAGCCACAACCTAGTGGTGCATGAGGCTAAAGGCAGGGGTGGGGCCACAAGCAAGAGGGAGAGGACTAAAACAGAAAATGTGTCCTAGTTTGTAGCTGTTTCTGCCAATAACCAAGCAAGCTTTCCATTTTATCCACTTAGAGCAGAAGAAAAACACATAATTGCTGAGAAACCACCAAAGGAGATGTGGGGGTGGCTAAGAACTACCTGGTGGTATGGGAAACGGATGTGGCTTTCTGGAAACCCCAGGAAGGCCAGAGATTAATCATTTGTACATGTCATATATAAATGAACAAGAACTGCCCTCACTGCTGTATGTCCGTGCTTGTGCGAGTGTAAAATTGGCAAACTAGACATGTGAAATTTCTACTGCACTTTGGGTGGCTGATTTGCGGGCACTGGTACCTCTTTTTCTTTAGGGTTCTTGTTTTATGGCTGGAAGTATGCTCTGTAAGAGGAGAAGTTAAAGATTCTATACTTCTCTTTCACTGGAAGAAAATCAATATTGAATGAGCCTCAGATCTACTGTGCCGAATTCTCTGCCCGCCAAGAACCTCTACACCATGTGATACAGAGCAACTTAGCTTCAAAAAGAATATTTTGTCACCTGAGATATAACCAGGACCTTCTGCAACAGAATGCAATTCATCACCTCAAGGCTGTTGCCCCAAATCACTGAATGATCAAGTCTTTTTAACTGTATTTTCATGAGACTGGAAGGAGAAGGTACTTTTGATTTGCTTTGTAGTTCACAGCATACAATGAAGAAGAATCTGTACTGATTTCTTTGGTAAAAAAAAGTCCACAATAAGTATTCAGCAAGCACAGGCAAGCTTTTCACAGTGACTTACAGAAAGCACAACAGCCACACATGGTCGGATGCAGAAATAAGCATGCTGCGGTGATTCTTCACTGATTGTATAGACTTGCTTGCATTTCCCCCCCTTCGGCTGGGCACTCCCCCCGCACCCCCACCTAAGCAACACATTTGCATCTTTAATTTCCCAAGATCCACCCATAGGGATTTTTTTCCTATCTACCAAATACAGGTCCCCAGATCAGCAGGGTAAAAATAATGCAGCATGAGGTGCAAATTAATTTCTTAGTGTACTAAAGATAGAGGGAAGGAAGGGACCCAATATGAAGTAGGCAATATGGGGATATTTTAGATTGCACCTCCCATAATTCCTGACCATTGGTCATACTGGCTGTAGCTTATTGAAGTTTCCAATTGAAATGGATCAGTCATTCAAAAGTGCTTAAAGTTGAGAGACAACCAGGGTGGATAAAAATCAATGATTTTTAAATCAGATTTTGCTTATTTAAATCAGATTCTTTGTTTAAATTCAATTTTTTTAAATAAAATGCTTTTTGAGGAAAAATCTATCTAAAGACAGTTTGCTATTTATGTTATGTTATAGTTCAAAGGTTATTCATGACCTTTGAACTACAGTTTTTAATTATGTGGTGTGGGGCTGTATATTCATCTGATGTGTAAACTTTTTGGTAAATGGTTAATCCAGTCACAATGTCATGCTCTTCCAGATGTTTTTGTAAGACTATAGGCCATTTTTTCTGCCTAGAAGATTACCACAGATGCTTGGTTTTACAGTTCTCAAAACTGTGAATTTGTGGCTGAAGAGATCACAGGCCTCTTTTTCACAGCAAAAATGTTACAAAATGAGCATACAGAGCTGAGAAAAAGACCTCAATCCCATTGTTCCTTTTCAAATTTAGGTACACAGAATCCTCTTAAGAGTTTGAGAAACTCTTAAACTCTTCTTCTTCCATGAATAGAAGAAGATTTTTGGGAGTGGAACAGATCTGCACAAGAAGCTAAGTGAAGGACAAACAGTAAAAATGAAAGTGAACCCTTTTGAGCAGAATACTCCACAAGTCTTTGGATCTTTTTGTATATAGCCTGAGATTTATCATATTATTCATTGCCCGGAAGAGAAAACCTATAATGGCAGGAGGCCATAAAAAAGACCCAATTTGGGAATATTGTAATATTGTTTGGGAAGTTCCACTACCTACAGGTAAGGAATGCATTCATGTAGGTTATGTAGAAAACCATGTTTTAAACCTAGTGTTACTGACTAGTGATGTAAATTGTGATTTTAATCAAATGCATTTTGCAGGCAACTGCCTGGAATGGGATGTTGACAACTGATGTTAATATCATCCAGATCCAGATAAGGCTTTTTTAGGAGTGGTCTAAATAACATTTCCATTATAGAGGTCAGCTCCATTCTACTCCACTCCTCTCCACTCTACTCCAAGGAATTTACAGCCATACCTTGAGCCTCCCTGTTCCCAGACTACAGTGCTATGTTGAACCAAGGGTAAGAAATATTTTCCACCTATGAATCTGAATTTCTAGTGGCAAAAAATGTCAGAGGTGGAAGGACCCTATAAATATGGGAGGGGTCAAGGCTATAGTGGATAAGATTTACCTATACATTTTCTCTTGCAAACACACACACACACACACACTTTCATATACAAGACCCATTCATTCCTAGGCATACACTCACACAAGGATCCGCTTTTTGCAAGCCTTTGCAAGCTCATGGAGCCTTGGGAAATTCACAACTCATGGAGAAGAAAGTTAACCCTTCCTTCAGCTGCTTACATCCAAATCACCCTGCCTGGTGCAGCCATGTACCCTTTTAAAAAACTTCCACTGCTGTGAACAAAGGTGTGCCTTTTCAAGCTCAGGGTGTGCAGGGGAGGTGAGAAAGGAGACCTCGGGCCAGAGGTTCCCCATCCCTGTTCTAGCCCCCGAGGGGCATTAAATGACCTGCAGGATCCAGCATTCCAGTCCAGCCAGCTAAAATCTTGCATTATTGAGCTGTGCAGAGGGGGCAAGAGGGACACATGGGGAAGCAGCACTTAGAAAAGCACTGAGAGATCTTCCAAAGGGATGCTGGCATCCTTGGACGGACACAGCATTTAACCCAGAATGTGCCGTAATAGTAAGGAGAATTTGAGGCTGGCAGTAGCAAAGCATGGAAGGGTACACACTACTTTACATTGCATATCTCGCTTCTGTATGATCCTGCCACTCAAATGTGAACATTCAAGTTAAGCTTCTGTGACTGCAGCTACTGTTTGCAATGTCAGAAATATTACTACCCAGATTTCACGTTTGTTTGATAGTGATAATATGGATTGCTGAACACAAGACGCACAGTGTATGCAAAAACAGCTTTTCTAGTTGCAAACATTAGGAAATTAAAGGTCTTATCCATAATGGCATGACATTCATCAACGGATATTGTATGCTGCCAGTGTAGAGCAGCATAATTTGCCGGAAAAGCAGAGACATGTACTGCAGCTCTATACTGATAGCCACTGGACCAGATCCTAATTCTCATGAAAGAAGCAATTGCCTGCTGTATAGGAGAAAACCAACAAGAAAGCAAGTTCAGCTCCACAGCTTTATAACTGAAATTAAAAAAGACCAAATTGTTCATTACTAGGGCTACCATAAAACCTGGTTCTATCCAAAAGGGTGCAATCTTTTCAGTTACTTCCATTTCATTGTAATCCAAAGCTGCACGTTCTTGTGCCTATGTGTCAGGTTTATATAGCTGTGCATGTCCAAGCATCACTGGTTCTGATAAGTTAGACTTACAGGATAATAGGCACTGAACAAAGCACAAGAATGAAAGCTGAAAAGAATGTCACAGTATCATTCCAATGATTTAAGTGTGCAGTGTTTGGGGATTTCTGGAAAGAGGAAGACTGCACAAGATCAATGAAAGACAACTCTGCCTGAAACTGATAATTTCCTGGAGAGAGATTGAATCTCCCTCTCTCCTTCTCCCTCTCCCTCTCACACACACACACAAATATGAAATGTTCCTTTTATATAACAGTCTATTTCTTCAGGGAAAGGCATTTGCAAATAATAATAAAAGCCCAAAAGCCCAGTTGTCTTTCTAGAAACAGTTGCACCTAGCCTATTCAATCATACGTCTTGAAAGCTGGAGTATTTATTGATTTATTATACTAATAGCTTGCCTTTTTTCCTTTCAAAGAATTCAAGGTAGCTTACATAATTCTATTCCTCCTCTCAGATCTTATCCTCACAACAACAATCATGTGAGGAAGGTTGAGCAGAGTGTGTGTGACTGGCCCTAAGTTGCCCAGTGAGCTCCATGGCTGAATGGGACTAAAACCCAGATTGTCTGAGTCTCATATCCACACTCTGAACCACTATTTCACACTGGATCTCAAGTACTGGTTTCACAGGTGCCTCTCAAGATCTCTTTTCGCATTTTAAGAACTACAAAAATGCCATGAGGCCATTTTCTAAAAAATATTTCAAATCCTGTTTCTGATATTTAAAGAAACTTTATTGTTGGCCTGGACATTCTTATTGATTGGCTCCTCAAATTCTTGCATCTCCCTTGGGAAGCTTGCACTCAAGTTTGTCTTCCTCACTGCGGCAAGATTTCCACTTTCTGAAGTAAGTCTTCTTTTCTCTGCTTATTAACCATACTGGTAACTGCTTGGACTTCATGATACCTTTTCTAACCTGTAGTACATAGTCTAGTTGAGCTTTTATTATTGTGGTTTTGAGTGATATCCAATTATTTTGAAAATACTTAACTTTCCTATCTCCCTCTTGCAACTTCCTTTTTACCAGTTCCCTCATTTTCCTCCTTTGAAAAGTTTCCTCCTTTGAAACCAAATGTGACTGTATGGGACCTCTTCGGCAATCACTCACTTAAAGGTACATTCAGTCTGATAGCACTGCAGCCACTGTTTCCAGTAGGTTTAAAAACAACTACATTTTGTGCTAAGTCCTGGGCAACGTTCCCAGGATTAAATCCAGGATTCCTCCTACCACCACTTTGGTTGGTTCCACATCCAAATGTTCTATGATACAGTCACTTTGGACAATGAGAAATGCAACCTTTTTGTCAGAATTGGAACATAGATGCATCCAGTCACTGTGGCAGTAATTAAAGTCACCCATTATTACAACATTTCCTTTTTCCATTTTCCAATTTAAAATCAACCTTTGCAGGTTGATAGCATACTGCTAGGAATAATTTAATCTTGAAGCCAGATATTATAACTAATGGTGCGTCTGTGCAGGAGTTGGAATATTTTAGATTTTCTAGCTGCTGGACTCCCTCTGACATACATACACAACACCTCCTCTGGGACAAACTTCCTCCCATTCTTTGTATACGATTGAGAGATGACTATATCCCACTGGTTCCCTCCATTCCAGCAGGTTTCCATTATGCCCACTATGTCTAGGTTCTCCTTTCAACCCAGGCACTTCACCTCTCTGGTTCAGAAGCTTCTAGCAGGATCTGTACATAGAGCCTTCTGCAGATGTCTCTGGCATGTGCAACTTCTGTTTAGTCCTCTTTAACCACAGTTTTTTCACCCTATTCTCATAACCTATTTCCTCCCCTCCAACATTTTAGACAGTCAGAAACATTTTAATCTTCTGTTAAAGCTATCTGTTTTACCACAAATGGCTTTAAAGATGCCAAACTGGGCATTGTTAGCAAAAGATTCCATCTTGCTATTATACTTTGTACCCCAACCACCCTGTCAAAATGACTGAATCATCCATCAAAGGTAGAGTGAGCTGAAACTTAGCTGCCCAGGCCAAAAACATAACACTAGGAACTGGGATCATCCAGTGATGCCTGTTGCTAGATGGTTCCGATGGCACTTAGTTAAACTATATAACTGGCTACCTCAAGATGTAGCCCTAGACACTAATCTGGAAGGAGGCTATTAATAGTTACGAGTCCTGCCAGCTTCATGCTACCTCCAGTAACAGATGCAGTATTCCTATGTACACAAGTTGCTGAGGGAGATGAGTAGAAGGGTGCTATTGCAGTCTGTCATGGTCCAGGTTGTCTTGCTGCCCCTGGAGTTATCTTGAGAGAAAGGGCTGGTCTCAGAAGGCCCTCGCACTACTAAAGATGGTCCAGGAACCTGAGGGATGATTCCTTTGGATATGTTTCCTGGAGAGGAGCAGGACTTGGCTTTTGAGGCAGAAGGAGATACTAAGCCACCACCTATTCCCCACCACCCACCCCAAGAATGCCAGTGCCTTAAGAACTATGATGGGATGGTGGCCAGGGAGAAGAGACCTACTGAAGAGGAATTACTGAAGATGCACGGGTCAGTGAAAAGGACCCATGCCTCTAGTGTGAAGCAGCTGAGCAATGGGTGGGGCTTTGGCAGGTCCAGCTATATCAGTTCTCGCTTATCACTGGAGAGCTGCCGCAAATCAGAACCTCAGCTCCCATCTTCACTTCCCATTTTTCCCCAACCGTGCTGTGTGTTTGGACCTTGGACCATTCACCCTACTGTACTTTTGGACAGTGTTTTTACTTGAGTGATACCCATGTTTTTGACCTTGGTTGCAGTCAGTCAGAAAAAACCTCTGTTTCTTATAAAAAATGTGCTCAACCATTTCCCTTCTAAATTGGCTCCTCTATTGTATACATCACTGTATTTGCTTAGTGAAGAGCCAAGACTCTGTTTAGAGCAGGGCAGTGTCCTGCTCATGAGTTCTCGCAGCAAGTGGGTGTCTCAAATGCTGGACAAGGGTGACTCCTAGTCTGATCCAGCAATTCATGTTTTTGTATTATCAACAAGAAAGCTGTACTATGAACTTGTCCCACCTTAACATGTGCCTTTGCAAGGGCCATGAGACCTCTGGAATGTGGGGATACCATACTAACTGGTAGGGTCCTAAAACCAAGAAGTCGTCCAGGAACCGCCAGTTAACTTGCTATCTAGGAGCCACGTGGAAAGCACTAAAGGAGAGAATGTGCAAACCTAAGCTTCACTGCAATTCATTCAGATAGTGGGCAACCACAGGTTGCCGTAACATCAGAATAAAAGAAGAGAAAGGGTTATTCAGCCCCTCTCTTTAAAAGGAGAAGAAAACAAGTTCCTGCTGCTTTCCTCACTACCAGGTTGTGCACGGTAACTACTGCTTGATACTTTTACACTGGGTAAACCTCAATGGATGAATAGTAACTGGTGATACAGAGCAAATGCTAGAGCAAGAGAGACAATTTCAGGCACAACTTGAGTCTGAAGTGTTGTTTTACATAACATTTACAAAAGCCATTTATTTTGCAGCAATAAGTTGCTATTAGAGATAAAAGATAACTGGCTTTAATAATGGTTCTTTATTAAAGTGTTTCTCAAGCTCTGTCCCACATTAAAAATGGGGGAGGGGAGGGATTATTGCTGCAGCTTGCTTGATTAATCAAGTGTACATATACTTGTTTTATGCCTGCAGAAGAAATGAAAGATCAACACGCAAAATAGCACACGCAGGACTCAGCCTCTGTTGCAGCTAACCAAAAGCTTTATATACCACCCTTACATGATAAAATGACTGTCAATAATTGCTGACAACAGCAAGTTACCAGAATGTTAACAGCCTGTGGCCAACCTCAACCAGGTAAGAAATCCAGAGCCAATATGTAAACAAGGAAAGAGAAAGTGCTGCCATACCAGAAAAGGTTACACTGGTTTGTTCTTTCTTGCTGTCACAACCATTTGGACAAAATTGCCATTTCTGCCAGCATCACTTTCCTTTGAAATGTGAATGAGATCAAGCCCTTCCTCCATCTTCTCTAGTACAACCAAACTACTAATCCTTCTTGGGCCTGTGGAATTTCCTAAACCTTCTCATGTGGAGACAGAGAGAAAACTTAAAAACAGATTACATAAGGTATTCAGTAAAATACTTCCTTACTGAGTTTGACTACTGGAGCTGTTGGTGTGATATTGCTAGTGATGGAATACATATTACTGGAATAAGGCGAGTGTGTGTGCGTGCATAAATATATACATCCCGCTGGTTAATGAAAAGGAAATATTTATCAAGAGGCAGAGGAAACTTATCAACAGCTAATGAAAAGGAAAAGGAAAGGTGTAGGACTGAAGGGCCTAGTTTAGAAGCACCAAATCAGAAACAGTTCCTTGTATTACCACTGGAAACTGCAATGTTGCTTGAAAGGGTGTCTTTCTCTAAAGGCCTCTCTGGAGGCACTTGGCAAGCCTTTATCTTTATAAATCGCTTTAGGTTTTAACTTGGCAAAGCAGAACACACTGTATCATTTCACACATTTGTGGGCTGGATTTCTAATTATACTAGGTTTCTGGCTAAGGACTGGATGTGCCCATAGTTAAGGGGGGCAACATCCTCATGCTCCGTTGGTATGTCTGACACTGAGGTGACACCTATTTCTGTTAAAACTCTAAACCAGGATCTCTCTCGAAGAAACAGCAATCTGCCTTCAGGGGCGGGGTGACCTACCATGACCACTGCAAAAACAGAAACTTTAAAAACAAAGGCTGGACTCACATGACACAGCCAACAACCCTGCATTGTTACCATCAGTGCACAAGTTTTTGCCAACTTACCAGTCAGATGATCACATGGTTTGTGAGATGGGCCGCCTGTCCCCCTCTCCTAAGTATTTGTATAAAAAGTTATTTATATGTTGGAAGCTGTCCCGAGGCTTATGCGAATGGGACGGCATACAAAAGATCCAAATAAATAAATGAATAAGTGTACTGCAGCACTTCTCAGCCACTTCAGCCTCCACAGAGATTTTTATTAAATGGAAATAAACAGTATCCCCCCCCCCACTTTTTTCCCTTTGTATATTTTCACACTGTGACAGACACATCGCTTGGTCAATGGGAATAAAGTGAGCAATTATGCATCTGTTGATAGGGAGCTTAAGGCAGTAGAAAGCAAAGGCTGGAAGCAGCCACTTCCACAGCTGCTCTTGCCAGGGGGCTCTCTGGCGTTTCTATACCAACAATTGTACACTGGTAATACCCTGTCCAGACACCCAGAGAAACCACAGGGAAGCATGGAAACCTTAGAACAGACCACTGATTTGCTCTGTGGTTTCAGAAAACTAATCCTGCCACACAGGGACTCTAGAGCTGGGTCCAGATGATATAACAGACCCACAGCAGTAAAATTTCAACATGGATTTTCAGGTCGCGTGAACCTGTCCATTGTGAATGTTCCCAGTTCTGGAAATCTTAAACTAACATTAGTTTTCTGTGGAAGATAGCACCAATTGAAGACTGCTCTCACAACATTTTTTATCAAGCAATTGAAAAGGGTTCTTTTAATCGTCTATATCACATCTCTTCCAGCTGTAGCTAACTGCAGAAACACAATATACACATGAGATTGTGATGCATAAAATAGTCACTGTATAACCAATCAATAGGACACTGACACCCGGAACATCATATCTGAGAAAGGCATATCTGTTGTTTGATCAATACCTGAGTGGGACAAGGATTGGGAAAGAAGCCAGCTGGCACAGGGTCAGTTAAAAATACAGACAGCTAATGTATGTTGTGCAGTAGCAAATATAGGGAAAACTTTGTCCATGAACACTATTTGCAGGGTTGTGTATTAAGCGTAGTGTCATACGTAGGTGTCATATAGATATTGCGCTCCCAGTCTCTTAATCAGAGCAGGACTATTATGTGTAATCCCAGCACTTTTCCAATTGAATTCCTTCCATCAGCCTTGATCATGGTCAAAAGTTATGGCTGCACCAACTTTGACCATGGCTCATGCCAACCATAATTTCCATATTAAGTAGGAACAGAAACCAGGATTTTAAGCTTTGACCATTTGAGAACCCTTGATCATCCTTACTGAAAGCTGGGGAAATATGGTCTCCTGCCACTGGATGGA